TTATCCGATCTTATCCATTGTGGACAACGGCTGCATACCGATGATCACATCCTGATGATGGATTCTGGATCCACCGATCGAGTGATCGATCCCCTGTACTCCCCTTTTCCACTGATTGATCTTATCCGATCTTATCCGATCCGATCTTATCCGATCTTATCCCTCCAGCATGCACAAGATTTCTCTGCAAATCTCTGAATACCTGTCTCTTATACACATCTAGATGTGTATAAGAGACAGATTAACCATAGGACTCGATCGATAGCGGTCGATCAGATCTAATCTTATCCATGGTGGATAATGGCTGTAGAGGCGATCGATCGGATAAGATCGGAAAATATGGGAGGAGGAAAAACCTCGATCGGATACGATCGGATAAGATTATCCAGATCCAATCTTATCTATGATCGATCGGATAAGATCGGATCGGATAAGATTTGAACCTCGGGATTTCTAGTGTGACAGACCTCGATCGGATAAGATCGGATCGAGGAATCTTCTCTCTATTATTATCTATTAATACAGTATCTTCGCGGGAAGAGTGTTGAGTTCTGTTCTCCATGACAAGCTTCTCTTCTCCATGGGCGAGAGGAAGGGGAGAGAGGAGGGGGAGAGAGGAGGGGGAGGGGGAGGGGGAGGGGGGAGGAGTAGACTCCCGTCTACGCTTTCTCTAAGCAATCTGGACATTGTTCCGACCAGGTGCTGCCAGGCAAGTCACAGTGTGACTATGGCCTATAAGGCGAAACAAATATATGCAAAAGGGAAACAGAAGTGCCGCGTCCGTTTGCCACCGTGTGCCACCGTTTGCCGCTGAGAAGGCAAAGTGAGCTCGAAGGGGGAGAAGTGGGGACGTGGAGGAGAAGGCGTGGGTGGAGGCGGAGGAGGAGGAGGAGGAGGAGGAGGAGGAGGAAGACGAGAAGAGGGAGTGGTCCACGCAGCGCAGACAACGATATCCCGTGCGTCCACGCAGCACAGACACGTCTGACCGCATTCCCTCCCCTCCCCCCCCCGCCCCCCCAAGGGCGACGCTCCCTTCGCCCCCCTTGGTGTTAAACACGCCCACCACTTGTCGTGCCTGCAGTACGTTAGGGCCCTGGCAATCTTTATCCGTGCTACAGCAAAGGGTAAAACGAAATGTCTCTCTTCCTCTCTCTGTCTCTCCATCTGTCTGCGTACGTGTGTGCATGCGTGTGTGTGCGTGCGTGTGTGTGTGTGTGTGTGTGTGTGTGTGTGTGTGTGTGTGTGTGTGTGTGTGTG